CGGTAGGAACCCGAGAAAAGAAGTACAAACGAAAACTTTGTGCAACCCCACGGAGGGATCTGATGTGGCACACGCCTTGACAGCAAAGCGCTTTTGAGCAGTTGTAAAGACAGCGAATGACAACCTTAATGACAGGTTCCAGCTGTGAAAAGAAAACGTGTTGTAGAAAGTTTTTTTCCGAACCAAATGTTGAAGCCGCACAGATAAAAAAATTTGTTTTACGCACCGGTAGGAACCCGAGAAAAGAAGTACAAACGAATACTTTGTGCAACTCCACGGAGGGATCTGATGTGGCACACGCCTTGACAGCAAAGCGCTTCCGAGCAGTTGTAAAGACAGCGAATGACAACCTTAATGACAGGTTCCAGCTGTGAAAAGAAAACATCTTGTAGAAAGTTTTTTCCGAACCAAATGTTGAAGCCGCACAGATCAAAAAATTTGTTTTACGCACCGGTAGGAACCCGAGAAAAGAAGTACAAACGAAAAGTTTGTGCAACCCCACGGAGGGATCTGATGTGGCACACGCCTTGACAGCAAAGTTCTTCCGAGCAGTTGTAAAGACAGCGAATGACAACCTTAATGACAGGTTCCAGCTGTGTAACTAAAACGTCTTGCAGAAAGTTTTTGCCAGCCAAATGTTGAAGGCACACAGATCAAAAAATTTGTTTTACGCACCAATAGGAACCCGAGAAAAGAAGTACAAACGAAAAGTTTGTGCAACCCCACGGAGGGATCTGATGTGGCACACGCCTTGACAGCAAAGTTCTTCCGAGCAGTTGTAAAGACAGCGAATGACAACCTTAATGACAGGTTCCAGCTGTGTAACTAAAACGTCTTGCAGAAAGTTTTTGCCAGCCAAATGTTGAAGCCGCACAGATCAAAAAATTTGTTTTACGCACCGGTAGGAACCCGAGAAAAGAAGTACAAACGAAAACTTTGTGCAACCCCACGGAGGGATCTGATGTGGCACACGTCTTGACAGCAAAGCGCTTCCGAGCAGTTGTAAAGACAGCGAATGACAACCTTAATGACAGGTTCCAGCTGTGAAACGAAAACGTCTTGCAGAAAGTTTTTTCCGAGCCAAATGTTTAAGCCGCACAGATCAAAAAATTTGTTTTACGCACTGGTAGGAACCCGAGAAAAGAAGTGCAAACGAAAACTTTGTGCAACCCCACGGAGGGATCTGATGTGGCACACGCCTTGACAGCAAAGCGCTTCCGAGCAGTTGTAAAGACAGCGAATGACAACCTTAATGACAGGTTCCAGCTGTGAAAAAAAAACGTCTTGTAGAAAGTTTTTTCCAAACCAAATGTTGAAGCCGCACAGATCAAAAAATTTGTTTTACGCACCGGTAGGAACCCGAGAAAAGAAGTACAACGAAAAGTTTGTGCAACCCCACGGAGGGATCTGATGTGGCACACGCCTTGACAGCAAAGCGCTTCCGAGCAGTTGTTAAGACGGCGAATGACAACCTTAATGACAGGTTCCAGCTGTGAAAAGAAAACGTCTTGCAGAAAGTTTTTGCAGCCAAATGTTGAAGGCGCACAGATCAAAAAATTTGTTTTACGCACCAGTAGGAACCCGAGAAAAGAAGTACAAACGAAAAGTTTGTGCAACCCCACGGAGGGATCTGATCTGGCACACGCCTTGACAGCAAAGCGCTTCCGAGCAGTTGTAAAGACAGCGAATGACAACCTTAATGACAGGTTCCAGCTGTGAAAAGAAAACGTCTTGTAGAAAGTTTTTTCCGAACCAAATGTTGAAGCCGCACAGATAAAAAAATTTGTTTTACGCACCGGTAGGAACCCGAGAAAAGAAGTACAAACGAAAACTTTGTGCAACTCCACGGAGGGATCTGATGTGGCACACGCCTTGACAGCAAAGCGCTTCCGAGCAGTTGTAAAGACAGCGAATGACAACCTTAATGACAGGTTCCAGCTGTGAAAAGAAAACATCTTGTAGAAAGTTTTTTCCGAACCAAATGTTGAAGCCGCACAGATAAAAAAATTTGTTTTACGCACCGGTAGGAACCCGAGAAAAGAAGTACAAACGAAAAGTTTGTGCACCCCCACGGAGGGATCTGATGTGGCACACGCCTTGACAGCAAAGTTCTTCCGAGCAGTTGTAAAGACAGCGAATGACAACCTTAAATGACAGGTTCCAGCTGTGTAACTAAAACGTCTTGCAGAAAGTTTTTGCCAGCCAAATGTTGAAGGCACACAGATCAAAAAATTTGTTTTACGCACCAATAGGAACCCGAGAAAAGAAGTACAAACGAAAAGTTTGTGCAACCCCACGGAGGGATCTGATGTGGCACACGTCTTGACAGCAAAGCGCTTCCGAGCAGTTGTAAAGACAGCGAATGACAACCTTAATGACAGGTTCCAGCTGTGAAACGAAAACGTCTTGCAGAAAGTTTTTTCCGAGCCAAATGTTTAAGCCGCACAGATCGAAAAATTTGTTTTACGCACTGGTAGGAACCCGAGAAAAGAAGTACAAACGAAAACTTTGTGCAACCCCACGGAGGGATCTGATGTGGCACACGCTTTGACAGCAAAGCGCTTCCGAGCAGTTGTAAAGACAGCGAATGACAACCTTAATGACAGGTTCCAGCTGTGAAAAGAAAACGTCTTGTAGAAAGTTTTTTCCGAACCAAATGTTGAAGCCGCACAGATCGAAAAATTTGTCTTACGCACCGGTAGGAACCCGAGAAAAGAAGTACAACGAAAAGTTTGTGCAACCCCACGGAGGGATCTGATGTGGCACACGCCTTGACAGCAAAGCGCTTCCGAGCAGTTGTTAAGACGGCGAATGACAACCTTAATGACAGGTTCCAGCTGTGAAAAGAAAACGTCTTGTAGAAAGATTTTTCCGAGCCAAATGTTGAAGCCGCACAGATCAAAAAATTTGTTTTACGCACCAGTAGGAACCCGAGAAAAGAAGTACAAACGAAAAGTTTGTGCAACCCCACGGAGGGATCTGATGTGGCACACGCCTTGACAGCAAAGCGCTTCCGAGCAGTTGTAAAGACAGCGAATGACAACCTTAATGACAGGTTCCAGCTTTGTAACTAAAACGTCTTGCAGAAAGTTTTTGCCAGCCAAATGTTGAAGGCGCACAGATCAAAAAAATTGTTTTACGCACCAGTAGGAACCCGAGAAAAGAAGTACAAACGAAAAGTTTGTGCAACCCCACGGAGGGATCTGATGTGGCACACGCCTTGACAGCAAAGCGCTTCCGAGCAGTTGTAAAGACAGCGAATGACAACCTTAATGACAGGTTCCAGCTGTGAAACGAAAACGCCTTGCAGAAAGTTTTTTCCGAGCCAAATGTTTAAGCCGCACAGATCAAAAAATTTGTTTTACGCACCGGTAGGAACCCGAGAAAAGAAGTACAAACGAAAACTTTGTGCAACCCCACGGAGGGATCTGATGTGGCACACGCCTTGACAGCAAAGCGCTTCCGAGCAGTTGTAAAGACAGCGAATGACAACCTTAATGACAGGTTCCAGCTGTGAAAAGAAAACGTCTTGTAGAAAGTTTTTTCCGAACCAAATGTTGAAGCCGCACAGATCAAAAAATTTGTTTTACGCACTGGTAGGAACCCGAGAAAAGAAGTACAAACGAAAAGTTTGTGCAACCCCACGGAGGGATCTGATGTGGCACACGGCTTGACAGCAAAGCGCTTCCGAGCAGTTGTAAAGACGGCGAATGACAACCTTAATGACAGGTTCCAGCTGTGAAAAGAAAACGTCTTGTAGAAAGTTTTTTCCGAGCCAAATGTTGAAGCCGCACAGATCAAAAAATTTGTTTTACGCACCAGTAGGAACCCGAGAAAAGAAGTACAAACGAAAAGTTTGTGCAACCCCACGGAGGGATCTGATGTGGCACACGCCTTGACAGCAAAGCGCTTCCGAGCAGTTGTAAAGACAGCGAATGACAACCTTAATGACAGGTTCCAGCTGTGTAACTAAAACGTCTTGCAGAAAGTTTTTGCCAGCCAAATGTTGAAGGCGCACAGATCAAAAAATTTGTTTTACGCACCAATAGGAACCCGAGAAAAGAAGTACAAACGAAAAGTTTGTGCAACCCCACGGACGGATCTGATGTGGCACACGCTTTGACAGCAAAGCGCTTCCGAGCAGTTGTAAAGGCAGCCAATTAATGACAACCCTAATGACAGGTTCCAGCTGTGAAACTAAAACGTCTTGTAGAAAGTTTTTCCGAGCCAAATGTTGAAGCCGCACAGATCGAAAAATTTGTTTTACGCACCGGTAGGAACCCGAGAAAAGAAGTAACAAACGAAAACTTTGTGCAACCACACGGAGGGATCTGATGTGGCACACGCCTTGACAGCAAATCGCTTCTTAGCAGTTGTAAAGACTGCCGATGACAACCTTTATGACAGGTTCCAGCTGTGAAACGAAAACGTCTTGCAGAAAGTTTTTCCAGCCAAATGTTTAAGTCGCACAGGTCAAAAAATTTGTTTTACGCACTGGTAGGAACCCGAGAAAAGAAGTACAAACGAAAACTTTGTGCAACCCCACAGAGAGATCTAAAGTGGCACACGCCTTGACTGTATTGCGCTTCAGAGGAGTTGTAAAGACAGCCGATGACAACTTTAATGACAGGTTCCAGCTGTGAAACGAAAACGTCTTGCAGAAAGTTTTTGGCAGCCAAATGTCGAATGCGCATAGATAAAAAAATTTGTTTTACGCACCTGTAGGAACCCGAGTAAAGAAGTAGAAACGAAAACTTTGTGCAACCCCGCAGAGAGATCTAAAGCAGCGCACGCCTTGCCAGCAAAGTGCTTCCTAGCAGTTGTAAGGAAAGCCGACGACAACCATTATGACAGGTTCCATCTGTGAATCTGTCATAATGGTTGTCGAGCAACCCAACCCTGTGCCTAGCCGCTTGCGAGTGCTCGGGCTCATCCTTTTTTCCAGTGCACTTCATGGCGCCTAGTGGTGACACTTTACCTAATGTGTTCTGTAAACGCAGCCTGGCGTGCTGACGGCTAGGCTTCGACGACGTCTGTCTGTCCCCAACCACGTGCCTGGACACCGGTGAGTACTCCGGCTCCAAAGCGCTTCTTGGCAGCTAGTGCTGATGCATACGAGGGGCGTTCAAAACGTATGGAACCTGAATTTGTTCTGCGGAAATTAATGAAGTATGGAAAGCGTTGTTCGCAGAAAATGTGAGGCCATGAGCAATGAGTACCGCAGGAGTAGTTGCTTCGCGCTGCCGATCTCGTGTTTCTACACAAGTTGTTTTGATCACACAAATTGTTATGTTCAAGATGAAATCCGTGCAGATTGAGAGGCTCGTGTTAGCTCTGGACCAGAGTGGACAGGTATAGTTTCAAAAGGTGGCTTCCGAGTCTGAAATTTGGAATTGAAGGCTAAATTTCTTCGCGGAATGTTAGGGCGGTTCGGCTAATCATGATCAACCTTGAATTTTGCTTTTCACCACCAAAGGATTAAATGAACCTGATAGGGAGTAGAGTCGGTTATATCTTTAAAAGTAAGATAAGGTCAACAAATGGAATATACTTCCATGATCGGCGGACTGTTTTTTGTGGCTGGTAGCAGCCATTCCCCTGATTGGCAACATTGGCCAAGTTCTCCTCTTTTAAAGAGGCCTTTTTGTCGGCTTAATCTCATTAATCTCATCATATTCGAAATGTCTCGAGCAGACAATGGAGGAAATGGAAGCTTTTGAATTATCCCTGTTTATTAGCCGGATTCACTTCTTTCAGAGATTGGCGTCTGTAAGGCCGCTGACTTTTGGCCGACCCTGGGATGCAATTCTCAGCCCTCCTAAGTATGTTTCGCGGGACAAAAGCAGGGGAAGTTGGGGATGCCACTAATCGGCTCGGCGCCTCGGGTCCCCGAAACGCGGACCTTCTTAAAGGGGCCGGCTAAAAGGAGGTATACAATGTCGAAGCTCGTCCGTCCAGCGATCGGGGAAATCCAGGGGGAACTTTGTGACCCTGCCATGACGAGGGAGAGGGCATTGTGCGTTAATTGTCGTCTACGGCGACGCCACTAATCGGACCGGCGCCTCGGGTTCCCGAAATGCGGACCTTCTTAAAGGTGCCGGCTAAAAGGAGGTATACAATGTCGACGCTCGTCCGTCCAGCGATCGGGGAAATCCAGGGGGAACTTTGTGACCCTGCCATGACGAGGGAGAGGGCATTGTGCGTTAATTGTCGTCTACGGCGACGCCACTAATCGGACCGGCGCCTCGGGTTCCCGAAATGCGGACCTTCTTAAAGGTGCCGGCTAAAAGGAGGTATACAATGTCGACGCTCGTCCGTCCAGCGATCGGGGAAATCCAGGGGGAACTTTGTGACCCTGCCATGACGAGGGAGAGGGCATTGTGCGTTAATTGTCGTCTACGGCGACGCCACTAATCGGACCGGCGCCTCGGGTTCCCGAAATGCGGACCTTCTTAAAGGTGCCGGCTAAAAGGAGGTATACAATGTCGACGCTCGTCCGTCCAGCGATCGGGGAAATCCAGGGGGAACTTTGTGACCCTGCCATGACGAGGGAGAGGGCATTGTGCGTTAATTGTCGTCTACGGCGACGCCACTAATCGGACCGGCGCCTCGGGTCCCCGAAACGCGGACCTTCTTAAAGGTGCCGGCTAAAAGGAGGTATACAATGTCGAAGCTCGTTCGTCCAGCGATCGGGGAAATCCAGGGGGAACTTTGTGACCCTGCCATGACGAGGGAGAGGGCATTGTGCGTTAATTGTCGTCTACGGCGACGCCACTAATCGGACCGGCGCCTCGGGTCCCCGAAACGCGGACCTTCTTAAAGGTGCCGGCTAAAAGGAGGTATACAATGTCGAAGCTCGTTCGTCCAGCGATCGGGGAAATCCAGGGGGAACTTTGTGACCCTGCCATGACGAGGGAGAGGGCATTGTGCGTTAATTGTCGTCTACGGCGACGCCACTAATCGGACCGGCGCCTCGGGTTCCCGAAATGCGGACCTTCTTAAAGGTGCCGGCTAAAAGGAGGTATACAATGTCGACGCTCGTCCGTCCAGCGATCGGGGAAATCCAGGGGGAACTTTGTGACCCTGCCATGACGAGGGAGAGGGCATTGTGCGTTAATTGTCGTCTACGGCGACGCCACTAATCGGACCGGCGCCTCGGGTCCCCGAAACGCGGACCTTCTTAAAGGTGCCGGCTAAAAGGAGGTATACAATGTCGAAGCTCGTTCGTCCAGCGATCGGGGAAATCCAGGGGGAACTTTGTGACCCTGCCATGACGAGGGAGAGGGCATTGTGCGTTAATTGTCGTCTACGGCGACGCCACTAATCGGACCGGCGCCTCGGGTTCCCGAAATGCGGACCTTCTTAAAGGTGCCGGCTAAAAGGAGGTATACAATGTCGACGCTCGTCCGTCCAGCGATCGGGGAAATCCAGGGGGAACTTTGTGACCCTGCCATGACGAGGGAGAGGGCATTGTGCGTTAATTGTCGTCTACGGCGACGCCACTAATCGGACCGGCGCCTCGGGTTCCCGAAATGCGGACCTTCTTAAAGGTGCCGGCTAAAAGGAGGTATACAATGTCGACGCTCGTCCGTCCAGCGATCGGGGAAATCCAGGGGGAACTTTGTGACCCTGCCATGACGAGGGAGAGGGCATTGTGCGTTAATTGTCGTCTACGGCGACGCCACTAATCGGACCGGCGCCTCGGGTCCCCGAAACGCGGACCTTCTTAAAGGTGCCGGCTAAAAGGAGGTATACAATGTCGAAGCTCGTTCGTCCAGCGATCGGGGAAATCCAGGGGGAACTTTGTGACCCTGCCATGACGAGGGAGAGGGCATTGTGCGTTAATTGTCGTCTACGGCGACGCCACTAATCGGACCGGCGCCTCGGGTTCCCGAAATGCGGACCTTCTTAAAGGTGCCGGCTAAAAGGAGGTATACAATGTCGACGCTCGTCCGTCCAGCGATCGGGGAAATCCAGGGGGAACTTTGTGACCCTGCCATGACGAGGGAGAGGGCATTGTGCGTTAATTGTCGTCTACGGCGACGCCACTAATCGGACCGGCGCCTCGGGTCCCCGAAACGCGGACCTTCTTAAAGGTGCCGGCTAAAAGGAGGTATACAATGTCGACGCTCGTCCGTCCAGCGATCGGGGAAATCCAGGGGGAACTTTGTGACCCTGCCATGACGAGGGAGAGGGCATTGTGCGTTAATTGTCGTCTACGGCGACGCCACTAATCGGACCGGCGCCTCGGGTCCCCGAAACGCGGACCTTCTTAAAGGTGCCGGCTAAAAGGAGGTATACAATGTCGAAGCTCGTCCGTCCAGCGATCGGGGAAATCCAGGGGGAACTTTGTGACCCTGCCATGACGAGGGAGAGGGCATTGTGCGTTAATTGTCGTCTACGGCGACGCCACTAATCGGACCGGCGCCTCGGGTCCCCGAAACGCGGACCTTCTTAAAGGTGCCGGCTAAAAGGAGGTATACAATGTCGACGCTCGTCCGTCCAGCGATCGGGGAAATCCAGGGGGAACTTTGTGACCCTGCCATGACGAGGGAGAGGGCATTGTGCGTTAATTGTCGTCTACGGCGACGCCACTAATCGGACCGGCGCCTCGGGTCCCCGAAACGCGGACCTTCTTAAAGGTGCCGGCTAAAAGGAGGTATACAATGTCGACGCTCGTCCGTCCAGCGATCGGGGAAATCCAGGGGGAACTTTGTGACCCTGCCATGACGAGGGAGAGGGCATTGTGCGTTAATTGTCGTCTACGGCGACGCCACTAATCGGACCGGCGCCTCGGGTTCCCGAAACGCGGACCTTCTTAAAGGTGCCGGCTAAAAGGAGGTATACAATGTCGAAGCTCGTCCGTCCAGCGATCGGGGAAATCCAGGGGGAACTTTGTGACCCTGCCATGACGAGGGAGAGGGCATTGTGCGTTAATTGTCGTCTACGGCGACGCCACTAATCGGACCGGCGCCTCGGGTCCCCGAAACGCGGACCTTCTTAAAGGTGCCGGCTAAAAGGAGGTATACAATGTCGACGCTCGTTCGTCCAGCGATCGGGGAAATCCAGGGGGAACTTTGTGACCCTGCCATGACGAGGGAGAGGGCATTGTGCGTTAATTGTCGTCTACGGCGACGCCACTAATCGGACCGGCGCCTCGGGTTCCCGAAACGCGGACCTTCTTAAAGGTGCCGGCTAAAAGGAGGTATACAATGTCGACGCTCGTCCGTCCAGCGATCGGGGAAATCCAGGGGGAACTTTGTGACCCTGCCATGACGAGGGAGAGGGCATTGTGCGTTAATTGTCGTCTACGGCGACGCCACTAATCGGACCGGCGCCTCGGGTTCCCGAAATGCGGACCTTCTTAAAGGTGCCGGCTAAAAGGAGGTATACAATGTCGAAGCTCGTCCGTCCAGCGATCGGGGAAATCCAGGGGGAACTTTGTGACCCTGCCATGACGAGGGAGAGGGCATTGTGCGTTAATTGTCGTCTACGGCGACGCCACTAATCGGACCGGCGCCTCGGGTCCCCGAAACGCGGACCTTCTTAAAGGTGCCGGCTAAAAGGAGGTATACAATGTCGAAGCTCGTTCGTCCAGCGATCGGGGAAATCCAGGGGGAACTTTGTGACCCTGCCATGACGAGGGAGAGGGCATTGTGCGTTAATTGTCGTCTACGGCGACGCCACTAATCGGACCGGCGCCTCGGGTCCCCGAAACGCGGACCTTCTTAAAGGTGCCGGCTAAAAGGAGGTATACAATGTCGAAGCTCGTCCGTCCAGCGATCGGGGAAATCCAGGGGGAACTTTGTGACCCTGCCATGACGAGGGAGAGGGCATTGTGCGTTATTTGTCGTCTACGGCGACGCCACTAATCGGACCGGCGCCTCGGGTCCCCGAAACGCGGACCTTCTTAAAGGTGCCGGCTAAAAGGAGGTATACAATGTCGACGCTCGTCCGTCCAGCGATCGGGGAAATCCAGGGGGAACTTTGTGACCCTGCCATGACGAGGGAGAGGGCATTGTGCGTTAATTGTCGTCTACGGCGACGCCACTAATCGGACCGGCG